ACTGCTGAAATGGGTAAAAACTAGTTACAAAATTCTATTTCATACAATGAAACCAAATATGTGAATAACACTTGAAGAAAAATAAAACCATTTTACAAAATATTTTTTACCAACTCACAGTTATTTTATAATTTTCTTTACATGAGAGTGGGGTATGATTTCACGGAGTTGCAAGCCGCATAAAGATCAAGTGTGACCTCCGCTTGTGGGCCGCATCTAAGGCTTCAGTGAGCCGAGATGATAGGTCTTTGTGGACCGCACTGAAAGGTCTTCGTGTGCTGCATTGAAAGGCCTACTTGAGCCGCAACGAACGATCTTTGTAGGCTACATTGTAAGGTCTTTTTATGCCGTTTGAAAGGTCATTGGCCACATTGACAAATAATAGTGTGTCTCGTGGAAAGGTCTTCTTGATCCACATTTAAGGATCTTCATTGGCTGCTTTTGAAAGATCTTTGTGAGCCAAATTATAAGGACTATTTAGGCTGCTTTGATAGGCCGTGGGCCACACTGAAAGATCGTGGGCCGCATTGAAGGGTCTTTTTGGTCTAGATTGAAAGACCTTCGTAGGCCACAATAAAAGACCATCTTGGGCCACACTAAAAGACCATCGTGGGTTGCATTTAAAGCTCTTCTAGGTCCAGATTGAAAGACCTTTGTGGGCCACACTAAAAGACCTTCGAGGACCACACTGAAAGATATTCGTGGGCTGCATTGAAAGGTCTTCTTGATCTAGATTGAAAGACCTTTGTGGGCCACACTGAAAGACATTCTTGGGCCGCATTGAAAGGTCTTCTTGGTTCAGATTGAAAGACTTTCGTGGGCCACACTAAAAGACCTTCGTGGGTTGCATTGAAATGTCTTCTTGGTCCAGATTGAAAGACCTTTGTGGGCCACACTAAAAGACCTTCGTGGGCCACACTGAAAGACCTTCATGGGCCACATCGCATGGTCCGCACGAGCCCAACCCAAGGACAAATTGAGCTCAATTTTCAGTGACAATTGACACATCACCACCCTCCCCCCTCATTTATTATACCCAACCACCCCTCACCCTTCCCAACCCACCATCATTATTAGACCACTCTCTCACCCTACCTAACCTCTCCCCATCTGTTACTGCCCCCACACCATTTCCCATCCCTCCCCCTCATTATTCAGCTCACACACCAAAAACTTTGAGTTTTCCCTTGGTAGATTGAACGCTAAGCCAAGACACGTCTTCAGGAGTCTAGTCAAATCTTTGTTACCTCTCTCTTTTTATTTCTCTCCTTTTCTCTTTAATTCCGACCTATCTTCCTATTCCCGTCTAATTCTCTTTAATTCCGACCTGTCTTATTCTTCCCCTCTACTCCTGCTTTAATTCTTTCTGTTGTCCTATTTCTTTCTTTTTTTTTCTATCATTATATTCTGTCTTCACATTTCTGTCTAATTTATTTTAATTCTTTCCCACCTCATAATTCTCGATATTCCCTTCTGATTCCGCCACGTGTTCCATTGCTCTACTTTTGCTTCAAGTATTTTTTTATCACTCTACTTTCTTGGTTCCAGACTTTAGCTTTTATTTTTACACTTATGAATAAGGTGATTCTGAGGGCGTTTTTGAGAGAGAAAAAAAGCGTTTTTAGTTTCGAATATGTAACAACGCTGTGTGGTTTAATTCACTGCGAACTATGAGCTTGTGTATGTTGTAAAGCCTACAACATAAATTCATTTATATTAATAAACATTTTATTTGAATATATTTGTTAATTAAAAACATTATTTTAAAATTTTGTCTGTATGTATGAATGTGCGTATGTATGTATGTATGTCTGTGAACAAGATAACTTGAGTACCGTTACAGCTAGGTTGATGACATTTCATATATAAGTTTTATATCGAATTCGTAGTTCTGTATAAACTTTTTAGTGATTTCCGGTAACCGGAAGTTGAACTTACTCTCCTTTTTTTTTCAAAAGCCTATGGCTTGAGTACTGTTTCGCGTAGATAAATTAAATTTTACATACTATCAAATTTTGAGTAATTTCCGTTGAATGGAAGTATTTTTTTATGCTATTTCCGATTCCTCAAAAAACGTATATGAATTTATACAATACTAATACTCCTCACTATTATACACATATTGTTTGCTGTTCACAATTTTTTTTTACGAGATTCTATTCTATTTAAAAAAGTTTAAATATGTGAAAGCTGATTAAAAATCATGTCTATATCCCGATTGTATTAAACACCACCAAATACAAATACCTACTCAGTGAAATCTGTCTAAATTTATCATCCATTATACCACCTATCCATTAAAATCTGTCTAAATCTACCATCCATTATACCACATACCCATTGAATTCTGTCTAAATCTATCACCCATTATACCACCTATCCATTAAAATCTGTCTAAATCTACCATTCATTATACCACCTACCCATTGAATTCTGTCTAAATCTATTACCCATTATACCACCTATCCATTAAAATCTGTCTAAATCTATCATCCATTATACCACCTATCCATTAAAATCTGTCTAAATCTATCATCCTTTATACCACCTACCCATTGAAATCTGTCTAAATCTATCACCCATTATACCACCTTTCCATTAAAATCTGTCTAAATCTACCATCCATAATACCACCTACCCATTGAAATCTGTCTAAATCTATCATCCATTATACCACCTACCCATTGAATTCTGTCTAAATCTACCATCCATTCTACCACCTACCCATTGAATTCTGTCTAAATCTATCACCCATTATACCACCTACCCATTGAAATCTGTCTAAATATATCATCCATTATACCACCTACACAGTGCAATCTGTCTTGTCCTATTTTTCCAAAAATACACAACCTCATGTCGATTTGTTTACTCACCAAGTTTGTTCGACCGACCAGTTTGGAAACGAATCCACTCAAGATAAGATTTGAAATACGTTGGGCTGTATTGGTCTCATCGATGTTGCTTCCCGGCCGTACGCGGCCTTGTGTGGGAAGGTTAGACCGTCCTGACATGCCTCTGTAGACGGACACGTTTTATATTCTAGACAAACCTGCAGTAACAATTATAAGCTTCTGATAACTGATATATCTAGTTTTATTTTCAGCATTAACAATTATAAGCTTCTGATAACTGATATATCTAGAGTTTTTATCATCTAGACCAGGGGTCTCCAAACTACGGCCCGCGGGCCGGATGCGGCCCGCGATGTCCTCTCATCCGGCCCGCGGAGATCTTTTTGTCCACGGAAAAACCGTTTGTTGGTGATGGCTGAGGAACTTTGCCCAGAAAAATCAAAGACATGCCTGGAAGAAACTGGCCCCCGAACTGAAATTTGATAGTTAATGCGGCCCTCGGACTGAAAAGTTTGGAGACCCCTGATCTAGACAAACCTACATTATCAATTATAAACTTTTGATACAACATATATATATATATATATATATATATATATATATATATATATATATATATATATATATATATATATATATATATATATATATATATACAATCTTCTTTAAATCTCTAGAGTTTTCTCTTCTCGACAAACCAACATTAATAATTATAAGCTTCTAATTACAGATAAATCTAGAATTTTCTCTTCTAGACAAACCAGCATTAACAATTATAAGCTTGTAATAACATCTATATCTAGTTTTTATTTTCAAGACAAACCAGCATTACAGATATATCTAAAGTTTTATTTTCTAGACACACTAGCATTAACAAGTATCAGCGCCTAATAACAGATCTAGAGATTATCGTAGATCTGATTGTAATTTTGGAAGGGGGAGGTGGAGGTATTTTAAAATCCTATATCACAGCCATGCCAAAAGGCAATTAAAAATATATTTTTGTAACGAATTCAGCCAGACTAATATATCAGCGGATATCTCACGAGCGTGATAAATTATTTTTTTGTTTGTTTGTTAGCATGACAGATCCACACAAATGTTGACATCGATTGTATATTTGAATGCATAATTCAAGATTAATTGTTTAAATCTTTATGAAATTATATGTATGCTAAATTAATTTTATTTTAAATGATTTCCCAGCCAAGTTTGTTTTCTGAATCTGAATTTGTTAGATGGTTTGTGTAAAATTGAATCAATGCTAAATCAACATTTTAAACGGATGTTTTGTGTGGCAGTTTAAAGCTTAATGACATGAGCATTTTGTTTAGTGGCTTCATTAGTTTCAGTTTTATACTATAGTACCATGATCTGTATCAACGTCTTATACTTAAGTGACGTCATCTATATCAGTTTTATACCTTAATGTTGTCCCCTGTATCAAAGTTCTATACTTTAGTGCTAGTACCTCTAAATATTATGTTTCTCATCTATGCATTCTGGAGTTTTTCCGTTTCTCTATGCTCCAAAAAGAGAGACAATAACCAAGTAATTGTATTTCTCAAAGTTTACACACCAAGTAGTTTCAATTTCAACTAAACTTGTTTTATTAATTATATTAATTATATTTTCGCAGCTCGCAAAAATATAAAATAAAATAAACAATTTTCACATAAACCCAATATATTTCCCATCCTAAGCACGCAGAGAAAATACACATTTTTATTCTAAGCCCAACATACGCCCCATTCATCTCTCAACATATTCCATTTTTATTCTATCGTCAGCCACTTGAAGAACAATGCGCACAGAGCATACAATGAATATACAGACGGCTCACAAATACAATATTACAGCGGTTCTAAAACGGTTCTAATCTAGCGCCAAACTCAGTATCTAATAACTAAAGCTTGCTTGTAGATTGATTGCCTTTTGTTATGTTGATGTAGCCATTGTGTATCGTAATTATTCAGGCTACCATTGATGCTACAATTAAAGCTACCATTAAAGCTACCATTGATGCTACCATTTACTCTACCATTTAGAGTAACATTGAAGCTACTATTGAAGCTACCATTGAAGCTACCATTAAAACTACCATTTACGCTACCATTTAGTGTACCATTGAATCTACCATTGAAGCGACCATTGAAGTTACCATTGAGGCTACGCTTGAAGCTACCATTGAAGCTAGCACCGAGGCTAAAATTAAAGCTACCATTGAGGCTACCTTTGAGGCTAAAAGAGAATCTACCATTAATGGTACCATTAAAGCCGCCATTGAAGCTACCATTGAGGCTACCATTGAAGCTACCACTTAAGTTACCGTTGAAGCTACTATTGAGAATACCATTCAGGCTACCATTCAGGCTACCATTGAGTCTACTATTGAGGCTACCATTGAGGCTACCATTGAAGCTACTATTTAGGGTCCCATTGAAGCTACCATTGAAGCTACCACTGGGGCTACCGATCCCAACTTTAAACTGTTTATTTTCCTATCATTATGAATCAGCCTTAATGCAGTCATTATGTTTCTTCACCAGCCCATGACCACGCTTAATTAGAAAAGAAAAATGTCCACAAAATCGATGATAATAAAAAAAAATAGGTTCAATAGCTAAGACAACTGTGAATTAATTCCATTGTTCCAAACTTGCAAAAACTCGTATTGATTAACACAGGGCCTTGTTCAAATTACAACATGCTTGACAGTTTCCAGTGACCCCCCCCCCCCCCCCGTGAACCCCCCCCGTGACCCCCCCCCCCCGTGAACCCCCCCCCCCCCCCCCCCCCACCGTCATTTTCACCCCGCCCCTCCTTGTGAGATCCCAGGGTAGTTTTAAACGTTCATTTCACTGTGCCTGACGTTATAATTTCCTTGTTGAAGTGCAACCTATTGTATTGATTCTCTATATGCTGACCTGTAACTGCCTAGCTATTAAGAGATCTGTAACGGCCTAGCTAGTCAGAGATCTGTATTTCCTAAGCTAGTCAGAGATCTGTATTGCCAGAGCTAGTCAGAGATCTGGAACGGCCTAGCTAGTCAAAGATCTAAATTGCCCAAGCTAGTCAGAAAACTGTATTGCCTAAGCTAGTCAGAGATCTGTAACGACCTAGCTAGTCAGAGATCTTTATTGCCCAAGCTAATCAGAGATCTGTAACGACCTAGCTAGTCAGAGATCTTTATTGCCCAAGCTAATCAGAGATCTGTAGCAACAATTCTAGTCTATTCGTGTTACTTTGGAGCAGATTGATGCTAAAAGTATAAGTTTTTACTAGATCTGATGATTCTTATAGTATTGGTAAATAAATAATAATTTTTTTTTAAAATATGTATATATATATATATATATATATATATATATATATATATATATATATATATATATATATATATATATATATATATATATATATATATATATATATATTTAATGCTATAATGTGATTTCCATGAGTAGAAAGTTGTGATGTCTATCCAAAAAAAAAACAAAAAAACATTAAAACATCAATAAAAACAACAGCAAAAAAAAACCTACCTAATGTTTTAATATCTTGGATTGAATCTCGAGATGTAATTTAAGATTACTCGAAAAAAACAAACATATTCCATTCTCTGTTTCTAGTGTAATGATGTAGAATAATATGTTGTTTAAGACTCATCTATTACTATTAATAATCTATTACTATTATTATAAATTCCCATTCCGTGCTGTGAAGAAGTGAGGTGGGCGGAGAAGTAGTCACATTAGTGATCGCTTGATGTTGGTAAGAAGAATACTTTGTAGACTTAAAAGTAGCTAAGAATTGAGGATTAGAGACCTGTTTCCATGTTGTGGTCAGTGTCCAGCGTTGGGCCGAGACGTGCTTCAATCTCAATAAGGTATCTTTTCGAGCTGAGAGGACTCATGGTCGTTATGTATATATATATGTATATATATATATGTATATATATATATATGTATCTCTCTCTCTCTCTCTCTCTCTCTCTCTCTCTCTCTCTCTCTCTCTCTCTCTCTCTATATATATATATATATATATATATATATATATATATATATATATATATATATATATATATATATCTACGTCGCCGAGACATGCGGGACACCACACATGCACGCTGAATCTCTAACCCGTCTCTCGCCCCCTCGCTCGCTCTTCAGGCATGCGCAACATTGTATACTCATCCACCCCAACTGTGTCTTTCAGGAAGTCTTCACCAGTCACAAAATAACCGCGCAAGCTACATGCAGGTTGGCTCGTATATATATATATATATATATATATATATATATATATATATATATATATATATATATATATATATATATATATATATATATATATATATATATATATATATATATATATATATATAAGTATGCATATACATACAAGTAAAGCTTCACGACTGTGTAAACTTGTTGAACTAACCCTTATAAAAAAAATCACTGTAACACTGAACAAGCTGTAAGACCAGCCATTGAAGGACTAAATGAGCCATATACATCAAAGCCCTTTACACCCGTGCTAGAGTGCATGCAAGGTTTTCTCGCAGTAAATAACCCAACCGATGATTAATGACTCACGGTTGACAGGCACGGTCTTGGTGCAATGGGCGGTCACTTTACGGCCGTTAAACGATTACCACCCGGACCACACTCGTGGGTTTTTAGTGGTATTTTTAGATGTGGTTTTTATAGTGGGGCAGTTATTTGTATTTTTTTTTATTGTTTATGGCAAGGGGAGATAACAGGCGATCACACTCCCGGTGACTTTTAAGCCGCCTTTTGATAATCTTCTGATGGTGCTTTTATGGTAATGGGACTCTATAAATCCGCTGGTCAAGGAGGTCAAGGCCATTAAGTCGCCGTCTGGCGGTCAAGGGAGGCAGTCGAGAGGATGTTTACCGGATGTGACAACATCAGGGGAAAGGGAAATAACAACTATTTAGTCGCGGGAATTTTAGCGGCTTTTGTTGTTTTTATATGTTGTAGGTTTTTTCTTCCCTTGCTGTACTAAGCATCGGTTTTTTTTTTTGGTTTGAGTTGAAGTTTTTAAAAATTTTGAGTGGTTAACTCAGGTATAAAAATTTAAATTTAAAAACGCCTTCGAATGGAATTTGTAAAAAGTATTCATCTTTTCTTAAATGTTTTTATTTCAATATGTAAAAATATTGTGGAGCCAATACTATGCCAACTATAGTTAACAAATTTAAAGAGAATCCCATGGTCACATAGATGCTACAGTAATCTGCGCAGTAACACAGGGGGTCTCCAAACTTCCCTCCCCCCCCCCCCCTCGAAGAACGACAACCCCCCCAAACGAAATTTATATATATATATATATATATATATATATATATATATATATATATATATATATATATATATATATATATATATATATATATATATATTTATACAAATTTCAAGTGCACCCCTCGAGAAAAAAGTCTGAAAGAAACACTGTCGGGGACCGACAACACACTCGAGGCTCAAGTTTATTCTCAAATTGTTCTTCACATAGACCTACTTCAGTCTTGATAAAGTTTGTATGTTGTTCCGAAATTTGAAAGGTACTTCGATGCAAAAGTTTTAATATTAGGAAAGTCTTCGCTGGGCAAATACTTAAAAAAACCCACCCGCCCTTATTTGAACATTTGAACTGGCCACATTTACTTCAATGGTATTCGCACCCAATGCTACATTTGTTTAGTTTGTTTTGAATTTTTTCTCAGCCACCTCCAACAAACATTTTTTTTCCGTGGACAAAAAGATCTCCAAGGGCGGGACGAGAGGACCTAGCGCGCCGCATACGGCCCGCGGGCCGTAGTTTGGAGACCCCTGCAGTAACAGAATACGCGTGACCAAGTGGTATAACTCAAGATTTCTTGACCAGAAGTCTTAAATCAATTACCGAAGTCGCCCTTGATAGAATTCCAACCCACCACACTTCTACCACCCCTCCCCCTGCCAACAAGGTAATGTGATGCAAGAAACAACTATGGGAAGGGTGAGTTTGGGGGGGGGGGGGGACGACGATCGGACGCGTGTAGTGGTAGGCCACTTGATTGAGAAAAATGTTCGATACGAACTTCTCTGTGCTTGACTTTGGATAAGTGTTGAATTCGTTATGCCCTCTAAGGGATAGATGAACTTATGAGATTAAGAATACAGCTAGAATAGAATATTAACATACAGTATAATGTCCATTAAGGGATGGAGTAGTCGAATGGAAGAGCACACGATTGCAAACCCGAAAGTCTCGAGTTCGAATCCGGGTTCACTTACGTAGAAAGTCCCTGAGTGCACTCATCTCTTATGGGTACCTAAGTCAAGTTACGGTAAGTAAAGGCGGCTGGGCATAGTGCTGACAATACGCCAAGATCACAGAAACAGGTAAACTCTACTTCACTTGCCCCATGGACCGTCAGATTTGAAAGGGAACTTTACTTTTAATATGTCCTATGGTAGGTAATATTTTACCATCATTGAGGCAGATCTATTATGACCCATTAACTCCAATTTGCTTCCATAGCCTTTGTTAAACCAAGAACAAACTACAAGACAACAGTTGTTTGATTTTGGAGTTGTCTCTCCAAGATAACATTCTGTCATCAGCTATAGAGCTTCCGGCAAGATGAACCTTTTTCGGTTTAGCAGCAATAAGTTTTACCGACCTGACGACTCCGACTCCTAAAGCTGTTTCAAATACCAATTTTCACTCAATGTTAACACCAGTTTGTTTTCATCCATTACCGTGTCAGTATTTCTAAAAGTAATTATTCTGGATCTGGTTCTATCGCCCCTGATGGAGCCAAACTCATCGATGCCTTTTCTGGCACGGGTTTAATGATTGATGAACCAGTTCAAAGATTTTTCTCTGATTTTTTTTCCAGGTTCGAACCAGTTCCCGTCAAGCAGGGTTTGATCGTGTTCTTGTATAATTAAAGAGGTGACTATTTGCATAGTGGAGCGTTTGACTGACTGACTATTTGCACAATGGACCGTTTGACTGACTGACTTTTGAATCTTCGAACATTTGACTGACTGACTAGCATAGTATAACGATCGACTGACTACTTATAAAGAGGAAAGTTCGACTGACTGACTATTTGCACAATGAACCGTTTGACTGACTTACTATTTACAAAATGGACCGTGCGACTGACTATTTGTACCGTGGACAGTTTGACTGACTGACTATTTGTACAGTGGACCGCTTGATTGACTGACTATTTGAATCTACGAGCATTTGACTTACCGACTACTAACATAGTTTATCGTTCGAATTACTAATTATTTGAATATTT